TATATATATATATCTATATATATATATATATATATATATATATATATATATATATATATATATATATATATATATATATATATATATATATATATATATATATATATATATATATATATATATATATATATATATATATATATATATATATATATATATATATATCATAGAGTACTCTCCAATCTATCAACAATGGTCTGCCTAGAAGAATAGAGCACACATTCATGGGCCTAACTTTGATCTTTTCTTCTTCTTCTTCTTCTTCTTCCAAGATCCTCAACGGTTCATTCATGAGATTTTTTTGTTCCACAGCTTTTGATTTCTTACCTTCATGAACCTGTGTTTGCTCCAATGCTCCTTGTTCCTCTACATCTTGAGTGAAGATCACCTTTCTTTTATTTGGACACATGATAGCATAATTTCCAACCTTTAGACAAGGGTAACAACAAGGGCTCGTAGGCTTGATTGTAGGTAGCTCTTGGATAGTAGATTGTGGAGTGGAGGATGCAGTTTTGGTAGGTTCTTGGAGAGGAACATGTTTAAGGGTTTCTTGGGTAATATGCTGATGGGTTGATGGGTGGTTTTTGGAGGGGGTGCGGGTTGTGGAGGTGGCAGCAGCTATTTTAATTTCTTGGGAAATATTAGGAGGGTGTAAGATGGTTGTTTTATGCTGGTTTTGGGCCGCGAGGATGGGAATAGCTTGTTGAGTGCTTTGGGCAGTGGTTAAGGTGATAAGTGGTGGTGGTGAAGACATGATTTTGGAAAGGTTTTGGGGCAGGGGTGTTGAGATGGTGTTGGGGTAAATGATGGAAGTTTGTTGTGGGGGTAGTGGTGTGGTTTTGGAAGGGGTTTTGGATGGGAAGGAGTAAATGTTCATAGGTACCTTGAATTTGTAATCTCTGGGCAAGAACTTCTTGGTTAAAAGCTTTCGCATCTTTTCCCAAGTTTGCACTTTAGCTTTTCCCTCAAGTTTTCTTCTGGAGGTGATGTTAGTCCACCAAGTAGAAGCATGTCTTTGAAACTTGGCCGTCACTAACTTGATCATCTTATCTTCAGGAACATCTTTGATGGTAAAGATTTGTTCAACCTTGGCTAACCACTTTAAGAACTTTTCCGGGTCAGTTCTTCCTTCAAAAGTAGGGACTTCCACTGAGTTTGTGAGCTCCTTGACTTGTTTCATCACAAGTTCAACTTCCTTCTTTAGTTTCTCCTGGGCAGCAGCTAATTCACCTTGAAACATGTTTTGAGGAGAGCTTGGCATGGTGGATAATATGGCTTGAAGATTGTGTGGTTGACAGCAACAAAAGAGATGAGGGAGGCGTGTGCAGATTATCCCTTAGGGATGTTCAACACAAAGCTCTGATACCAAATGTTATATCTAAGCTCCGGGTTTTATAGTTAAAACCTCTTTATTTGCAGGGAAGGGGAGATAATCGATTGTCCTGAGTGGATAATCGAATGTTTAGGGCTTCAGGTTCTTGGGCAGTTTTCTCGGGATGTTTTGGGAGGGGGGATAATCGATTTACAGTAGCAATAATCGATTATTTGACAGTTTTCTGGGCAGGAAGAAGGGTGTTTTTGTGGGGGAATGGACTGGAAATATATGGAGTTGATGAGGGAGTTCTTTTGGGTATTTTAATGGAAGAAAAGAGTGAGATTAAGAGGAGAAATGGGTGGATCCTATTTTCTGATGTTGGATCCTTCTCATATTGTTCCTGAGCCCTAATTGTTGCTTCCTCTGCCTCTTTAAGTTTATTAACCACATTACCAAAAATCTGTAAGTTCCCCTCCTTGATGTGTCTCTTTAGCCCAAGCAATTTGAGTGCAAGACCAGCCATGCCCCCATGATGACTGTTGTTATCCCAGTGTTCTGAGACCATCTTGAGGAAAGAGTGGTGGTTTAACCATGCATTCAAGAACCTAAAAGGTTTAGGTCCTCCCTGTCTTCCTTTCTTGCATTGAAGTAGAATAGGCTTGTGATCTGATGATGCTCTACTAAGATAAGAAATAGTGATGTCTTCATAATCTTCTATCATCCATTGATTAACCAGAGCCCTATCCAGCCTCCTCATCACTCTACCATTGCTTCTTACCCCTGACCATGTGAATATAGACCCAATAGTGTGAGGTGTGAAGAGCCCATAGGATTCCAGGCAGTCCTTGAACTCCTCCATGTCTGATTGTAAGGGGGGATGCTTTCCATTGTGTTCAGAGCAATCAGAAATGATGTTGAAGTCTCCTCCCACTATCCATTTGGCCTGAGGTGTAATTTTGATTAAGCCATCCCAAAGCTCCCTCCTTTCCCTGCCACTATGCTTTCCATAAACAGTGGTTATTGCAATATTGTCATTATTAGTTGTGTCCAAGAAATTACAGTGCACCATTGTCCCTCCTCCATCTTATCAACCAAAGTTAAAATATCCTCTGTCCAGAATAACCAAATCTTGTTGTTTTCAGTAGCAAAAAACTTGTTGAAACCCAGGTCCATCCCAAATTTTCCAATCTGGGAACCAGAGACTATAGGTTCAATAATAGCAATGAAATTAATATTGTGTTGTTTCTTTAAAACTTTGATCCTTTTGAGAGAGGATCGAACTCCACAAACATTCTAAAATAACATTATCATTAAAGACTGATGTGTTTGAACTCTTTATTCCTTTTATGACTTCTTGTGACAATAGTCAAAGGAGGACCCTGATCTTTATTTTTGTTTTTCCTTATCCTTGGAATTGATAATGGTGTTGCATTTGTTGCAGGGATTTGAAAGTCCCTAGCCTCCAGTTTGGATCTGTCCATGACCTCATAACACCCATCATCATCTGAATGTCTACCCGTCTCAACCATGTTGACTTCTTCAGTTTACTGGCTTGGAAGATTCATAACTTCCACAAGCATAGCCAGTCCCTTCTCTGGTGAGTGATGGTTAATACAGTCATCAAAGGAAACTCTCCTACTTCTTTTTGTGCGCAAAAAATCCCATCCCCCAATATTTGAGACTTTAGTTTGTGCCTGCCCTTGAACAGAAGTTTTATAATAGTAATCCTTTGCCTCATTAAGGGATGGAAATAAAGATGAATCCCCTATCATATCTGTGATATCCTTTGTGCTATGGGGGTCCAGTATTAACTTCAGTTCATAATCAAAAGTAGACATATTTGATGAATTGTTAGGCCCTACCAGACTGGGAGTGTTGTCCAATAGGTTTAGTATATTGAACCTATTGTTTTGGCCTGGAGTGGGTTTCTTTTTCCATTCAAATTTTTGTGGGACCTTTCCTGACTGCCTTCTTTCCTCCTGGGGTTTTTGTGCATGTTTGTTACCCTTTGTCTTTTTTTTCTTAATAATTTCCCAGTTGCCGTCCTTCTCACTGTTGGAACCCAAAATACCCTTGCCGGAGGGACTTTTTCCGGTGGGATTACTCATCTGAGTATGGCAGTGATGCCCATCCAAGTGTCCCAGAAGATTGCAATGATTGCAAAATTGAGGTTTATCTTCATATCTGCAATTTGTGTAGATATCTTTCCCCCCTATTCTGATGTGCAATTTATTTGGGGGTGTTACAGATATATCCATCTCTACACAGATCCTAGCCCCCTCCCTTCTGTCTCTATTAACAGAGTAGTCATCTAATTTTACAGGTCTACCCACCAAAGAAGCAATGGAGAAGAGAGCCTGAAAGTCAATCAGATGCAGAGGCAGTTTCTCCAAAGTAATCCAAACTCGAAAAATTGGAGAATCTGTATATTGATTGTACTCTCTAGTCCATTTAAAAACATAAAATGTGCTTCCATTTACATACCATTTTCTCCTTTGTAAAAACCTGATGTAGTGTTATATCCGGGCTTGGCCCTATCATACCCTCCCCCATGTCACACACCCTCGCAAAAACCAAAGGACTTACGTTCAAACATTATGATCCATTTTAATGAGAATTCCAAGTCCTTCAACCGGAGAGGCCAAAATAACTTCGGACCTAAGGGTTCTGCCAACCAACTCCCACTCCGCCAAACCCCACCCTAAACATCCAAAACTCCTTTCCATTTATTTCCTTTCAAACATAAAGTTTTCCTACACTTATTTTAGCCCATGGCCGAAAATAAGGGTGTGTAAAATAAAACCTTTTGTTTGTTGTTATTTTCCTTCTTTTTTAAGCCTTTTATTTAACAAATAAAACCCTCCCTCTATTCCATTCACCCCTTGGCCAAAATACACTTCACAATCCCAACATAAACACCCACAAAGAGCCAAAACCCTGACCCACCACTAGCCACTCATTCCTGCCCATGTTCCCTTACAAATAACCCAAACCTATAAGTCCAAAACCACACATTATATCCCCCATCCCTGCCCCCTTTTATTAGCCAAAAACAACCCCCATTTTTACCTAAATAATAGCCACAAAAACCCAAGAAACAACCACTAGGAACCAAAACACAAACCCCCACAACCCCAGCCCCATC